AACTTAAATGGGCCCATAAGCCTCAAGTGATACACTCCTTCTTTAGAATTTAGACCCTTCTTAGAACAAACTAGTAATAATAATCCCAAAATCCTAAATGACTAATAAAAGATGAAACGATTATTTAGAGGGACAAATTTGGGGTATGAAAATATTGTTTCACGAGAATCGTCTCGAAATGTTGAAAATCGAGAAAGTTATGATTTTTGCAATATCGAGAAACAATTGACTGGAAATATGCTTCACTATATGATTTTCAACGTTCTTTTGCATTTTCGGAGATCTTCCATACAGAATTGGATCTCGACCCAAACATATGAAATGGAGAATATGTCAAGGAGATTCTAATTCCCAAAAACCCACTAAAAATGTCGATCCAGACAAAAGTTAAGAATTTTTGAACCCGAACCATAAAATGTTGATTTTTGGCCCAAACTGTTTCAAATCAACTGAAACACTTGACTTTCTTTGCAATTCAAGGCATATTGTAACACATGGGAACTTGGAATTATGAGAACATGATTAGTCACTAATTAAATAGTCCGAGGAAGCATGCTGAATGCATTTCGATTTTGAAACCTTGATACACTGATTGACGAAACAACCATCTTCTGTAGCTTGACGAAGCTTAAAAGAAGTGACTTGTTCCCATGATAATATAACCAATGATATGTATGTATGCATATGATAATGAAGTATAAGACGAATGGGGTTGGAATGAAGAGGGTAAATTTTGAGGGTACAATATAGCCTTATCCATTTCTTTCCAATGGTTGATTCAAGTTTTTGTTTCTTTGATTTGAATCATAATTTTATGATTTGATAAAAACTTTTTTGTTTCAAACCAAGTTAACACCATATTCTATCATATTTTAGTTATGTTTCCTATTTTTCAATCGTACTAAATGTTATGCTTAAATCATTTACCGTTTGCACACATGTATCACTACCAATACCAAAATAAATTGATGTTTTCTAATACACTTTTCTTTATGATTATTCATAGCAACAGGAAATCCGCGGTATGACCAAAGATATCGATGCTCGGCGTACATAAAGTTAGGGATGGTTTCGGAGACGCTTAATACGTATGGCTAAAGTAATCAATCCCCCATATAAAGTCAGAGGTGTTGTTGGAGCCATTTTGTACGTCTGACTAAAGCAATTAATCTCTCACATAAAGTCAAGGGGTGATTTCAGAGACTCTTTATACGCTTGACTAAAGCAATCAATCCCCCTCATAAAGTTAGAGGTGTTGTCGAAGACACTTTCTACATCTGGCCAAAGTAATTGATCCCCCATTTAAAGTTAGGGGTGCAGTCGAAGATGCTTTGTACATCCGCTAAAGCAATTAATCCACCACATAAAGTTAAGGGAGCTTTTGGATACGTTTTGCACGTTCGACAAAAGTAATCAATTTTCCATAGGTAATAGCGGCCCATCACGCATGAAGCCTAGCCATTCCAGATGTCATGGTGGGTTGGACACATGTCTACCTCTGACCGAGTTTTCATCTGATAGAGGAAGGGGAACCAACCCTTGGCCGGGAATGATCCTAGTGACATCCAATAAAATTTTAGGGGAAGACCTCACAAGCTCATAAAGATCTAGAGCTATGCACTCAGGATCATATCGATTACCTCAAAAACAAGTAGCAAAAAAGTAATAAATTCATATAAACTCTATCACTGTCACAACAAATTCCAATTAACTTTAAGGGAAAACCTCGCAAGTTCATAAAGACCTGCAGATGTGTACCAGGGATCGTAACAAATGCCATAAAACAGTAACGTCAAATTAACTTCGAGGGAAACCCTCATAAATTTGCAAAAATCCAGAGCCATGTAATAAGGATCATATAAAAACACCTTAAATAGGTAACAAAAGGAATTTCATTCAATAGAGATGTATTTCCTACATACTCTTTCCTTATGAAGTATTATCACATAAGTATTATATACACAAAAAAGGATCGGACAATGACCTCGTCAGGCCTACTTCCGCAGAGAAACGATTTTCCCATCTATGAAAGCTTGATCAAGCCATATTTTATTCTTGGAAATTGTCAAAGGATGGTGAAAATACTCTACTTTATTTAAAGCATTTCCAAATGATTGCGAAACTGCCTTAAGGGTGAAACTCGTACAATCATCCAACCATTGAGTTAATAAAGCATTATAATAACACAAAAGCTCTATTTCCTTGTAAGTAGTCATCACATTGCTTTAAAAAATAGACAAAGCTTGGTCTTTCTTCGCCACGATCCTCACCGGCTGAATCACCTAGTCGGAAAGAGAGCCAGTGAACTTCAGGGGAAGAAAATCATCCTTCACCCATAGAGAGAGAGAGAGAGAGGTAAAATCTTCCATTGTTTGGTATATGTCATGATGAAGCTTTAGGACAAGGATGTTGTCCTTCATCTATTTATTTTTAACGCGATGCAAGTTATACCAAAAAGCTTCCCAATGACCAGACACACCAAGAGCCAGAGCATTCGAAGCGTGTCAGTCATACCTGACTAGTTTGTTGGTTTCTTCCTCTATAATAGGTCCAAAAAGTCCAGCCAATTAAGCACAATCCTCATCCAAAAGAGGAGGTTGAATTTCTTCAGTAGAGCGGGAGTCAGATCCCATCGATAAAGAGTGAGCAGACCAATCGAGGGCATTCGATAAAGTCGGCAGGTTTTTCATAACAACATTATTTCTGACGATCACACTTTCTATCTTAGGAGCTGAAACTATTCTTCATCACCCATACACTCTAAACAGTAACGAGTAAAATGTATACCTCAGAGGCATACAGGTTAAAAATACCATCAACTCAATAGTTTGAAACTTACCAAAAATGGTTTTTCTCTCCCTCAAAAGCGGGCTTTCATCAACAACTGGATGTTAATAAGACACTTCAAACGCTTATTATCAACTTCCTTCATCGAGTTGACTCCCCCTGTATATCCCATAATATCAATAAACTTCATTAACCGTCCATATTAAGCCTCTTCAAAGAGATCTTTTCTTTATAAACGAAAAATGTATTTCTAAAAAAAAAAGTGACCCTTAGTCTAGTACTTAGAGAACAAGTTAGGACACCAACCCTTCACTCAATTACCAATGTCACAAGTTGTAGCATGAGTTTCAGGACTGACAGGAGTTACCAAAACAAAATGATCCTCAAAGGATATTAGTTACATAAGAGGATCAAAACCTTGAATAATTAGCTTGAGGTGAAGTAATCTTCTATCCTTAGTCTGGATGTCGAGTCACAAATATATTTTAAAAGGTGAATGAAGAAGAACAAACAAGGTCTTCCTACACTAATAGTGATAGAATCTCATATATAAACACATCATGAATGGTGAAATTGTGAAAGAGTTATGGACAAATGTTTTAGGACCTCTATCTCAAAAGCAGTTAAATGGAGACTCGAAAAATGGAAGAAGATATTTAGGACCTGTTTATAAAAGTGTTATTTAATTTTTAAAATTTGAAAACTATAAAACTTGTTTGATAGTCTAACTTTACAAAACTATTTTTGAAAACTATTTTATAATTGAGAGTTTTAAAAACTAAAAGCTAAAATAGATTTTTGAAATTTTGATTTTTAGTTTAGTTTTGGAAATTATGGAGAGTAAAAAAACAAGAAAAAATGATACACTTTTATTAATGGCAAATTTATAATATTATAGAATATTAAAATAATTTTTAAAAATTAAGATTTATTTTATTTTATTTTTTATTCAAAAATCTTTTTCAAAATTAATTTACAAAATTGTTTTTGAAAACTAAAAAGTAAAATTCATTCAAACAAGTCCTTATTCTCCTAAAAGAAAACTATATTCTAGAAGGCAAACAATTTCATCAAATTCATTCGATCACTCACACGCAACACTCAAAGAGTTTCAGTTTCTAAAAATCTTAATGATGATGTCTATGAAAAGATGTTTGAAGTATAGCACATTATTAAACACACAATTCCTTAAAAGAATTGAAACATTTCTCAATTATTTGTCTTAAAAATAAGCAGGGGTCGACAAACAATTGAGGTTCTAATGTCAAGTATGCACTTCCTACACGACGATAATGGTTTGGGTATTTTGTTTTGGTTAGATCGATCCCAAATAAATTTATACCGATCATATTGATCTCAACTAAGCAGTCAGTTAAGGGCCTCACTCCTTCCAAAATCTTCCTAATACACGAAGATTATCATTCTAATAATCATCTAAGATCTCAAGCGAAAAATATACGACAACCCTCTGCAATTCAATCTTAACTAATAGTAAGTTAGTTATTGCATCTCTACTAAATCAGATAAAATATTTCAAATACAATTTCATTTCACTTTTTGTCTTTAAATACTAACTTGAGTATTGAAGTGTTAACCTTACCGGTTCCTCCACTCCACCGCATCAGAAGAAACTATCTGTCATCACCATCATTCATGTTCTTATTTCTGATTGTCGAATGTAACAATGTACATGTTTATTTGTTTATGGTAGAGTATTGTATTGGAATTATTGATATCATAGAGCATTAATGCATAATTAACTATTTAATTAGTTCTAACACATCCCACTTTAATATATGTGACATTACTAGCAAAAGTCGCGAGAACTTTCTTTATTAAAACTTACTATTCCGGTCATTATTATAAGCAAAGATTCTCTTCTTAGATTTATTGAATAATAAATGTATTTGGTCTCTTATGTAGATCAGATACATTCATTATTCAATAAACTTAAAAAGAAATTTTTTACTTATAATAATGGCCAGAGGGAGTAGTTTCTTTTCTTCTTCTTGTTTTTGCTAATGATTTTTATTTTTTTATTAATAAAAAACATAATTATACTATATGTACATCAATGTATTGTTGGAGCATTAACAACCAAATGAAAGGAAAAAAATGTAGACATAAATAAATGAAAGTATTAATCAATCGGAAACTAACATGGGTAATGCTATGCTAAGTATAGGTGAATGGCTCAATGAGTGAACATAATATCAATGTCCTTGGACAAGTAATGGACTTGAATCCCCAAGAGTCTCCCTATTGGTAAATTTATGTTCCACTCCTCTGGAACTCGGATTAGAATTCTTAATTCCTCCAAGTGTGTCTATGTTGGTGAATTTATGTGTCACTCCTCTGAAACTCGGACCCGAATCCTTAATTCCACCAAGAGTCTCCCTGTTGGTGAATTTATGGCCGATCCCTCCCGAACTTGGACCCGAATCTTTAATTCCACCAAGAGTGTCCCTGTTAGTAAATTTATGTCCCACTCCTCCGGAACTCGGACCAGAATCCTTAATTCCTCCGAGTGTGTCTATGTTAGTGAATTTATGTCCCACTCCTCCAGAACTTGGACCTGAATCCTTAATTCCACCAAGAATCTCTCTATTGGTGAATTTATGTCCCACCCCTCCCGAACTTGGACCAGAATCCTTAATTCCTCCGAGTGTATCTATGTTAGTGAACTTATGTCCCACCCCTCCCGGACTTGGACCCGAATCCTTAATCCATCCAAGTGTCTCAACCGTAACAACTTGCTTGATTTCTCCAATAGAATGTGATAACCAACCGAAAGAATCCACAACTTCTTCTCTAGTATCTGAGTTTTTTGTGTCAATGATATTCAATGGACGAGCTTCTAAGATCACAAAAACCGAGTTCATCAACATAAAGAAAACAAAGAATACCTCAGTTTTGAAGATAGTGCTTTCCATCTTTTCTAAAATTTGAAACACAAACAGAGAAGGAAGAATGAACTTTGTTTATGTTGATATTTGTGAATCAAGACGAAGAGTCCTATTTATAGCATAGATAGTAGAATTTGGTGTCTTGACTTGAATGTGGAAAGAGACTTCATGACTTGAAATATATGATTATTTTTAATATAGTGTTCAAAATTGAAAATTCAAAACAAACGTGGGTATGTGGTTTTCTAACGAGGAAATAACCTGGGAGGTTCTGATTTCTAAACACCAATTTTGATTGTAGTTTCGTAGAGAAGTGCATACAAGAGTGTAGTAATTCATAACGGGTCCAACTTGTCACTTGTTGAAAAGTATGTATGATGAGCTCAGCTGCTTGTAAATTGAAGACTAATGGTATATTTTCCTACAATGTTACTAATATCAACAAGTTTTTGTTGACCATTAATCTCTATACAGGAATCTGACTAGTCACTTTCACTAGAATATCCTCTCTCCACCTAATTTTTTTATTTAACTTAATCATAAAATCTTACTATCGTAAACAGGATCGGCGCAATCACTTCAAAGTTTATGTTTCAATTTAAAAAATAAATTTAAATTAAAAAAAATACAATTTTAATAATAAATAAAAAACACTAAAAAATTAATTAAATGAAGCACTAAAAAATTCAAAGTATTGTTTGAATTATAAATATCATTTCATATAACTTAAACTATCTGATTATTTAAAAAAGTTTTTCTACGAATATTTTTTGAAGTAAATTCATCATCTAAATCTTTATATTTTACTATTTTCAAAATATCATTCTTAACCGTTATTAATATCAATCTATAAACTCTTCTTGTGATATGGTAGACCTCAAATAAATCTTTAACAATTTTAATTTTGAAAATTATTTTTCTATATAAGCAATTGTCATAGAAATAGTTAATAAAATTATATATGCAATAAATGTATTAAGAAAATAATTCAAAACTTTCAAAAATAATAATATATTCTTCAGACAACATTTCTCTTAATAACTTTAACTTTGAAAAAATTTCATTTCCTTCAATATTAGATTGCTCATTATGTTTTAATACTTATTCAAAGTTACTACAAGAAGACTTCAAAATTACATCATCTAATGATGATTGTAACTTGTGAGAAGTAAACAAAAACACTCTCATACTCTTGATATTGTTTAAATATCTTATTAAGAGGAACAACATATTGATCAACAAAGTAAAAAAAAAATTAATTCTAAAAGATTTCTCTTCAAATAGCTTGATTGATGGGGTATCAAGTTTTCATCAAAGTATCTTTTTCTTTTAATTGTATGTCTTTAAGAAAATATTATAACGATATTCAATTCAACTGCAATTTCCTTAGTATTAATCAATGTCTTATAAAAACATGTTTCTTTATATCCTTCAAAATATGTAATCAACCCCTTTATTTTATTTTTCCATAGAAACATCAATAAGATTATCATTTTCAATAGGCACACCATCAAAAAAATTTACATCAATATTTCAACTTAATGGCTTTTATTTGAAATTTGTAATTCTTTAATTAAAAATTTATCAAAAACTCCTTTTTACTTGAAATTGAATTAACTCTTTATTTTATTTTTTTTCTTTTTCTTTTTCTTTACGTTTATCATTTCCACATTCATACTTTTTATTTTTAGGAGACATTGTAAAAAAACCTATAAGATTAATTCCATAATATTACCAGCAATCAATCTTCTAACAACCCTGTTGTAAAATTGTGTTCCTACATTAAATTATTACATTAGTAATAAGAAAAATCAACTACATTAAATAAAGGTAAAGTTACTTCGGTTTACTTGCTAAGGTAATATGATGCAAGGTATAAAGAATTATAACATTATATGTCAAAAAACAAAATTACTAATATGTTATTGTAGCTAAGAGAAATATTTGTTCTCTCAAAAGCTATGCTGCCAAAGTAAAGTCAAGGAAGTGTGAAATATTAATTTTAGAAGTTGATGAAAAATATTTTCCACACAATCACATAGCATTGCGATGTCACTTTGACTCACTTGTCGTGTTTCTGTATTTTTCGATTTAAAAAATGTATTTTTCTCTTTAAAGTTGACTTTGAAAAGACATTTGATTCAGTTTCTTGGAGCTACCTCACATTTATTCTTAAGAAGATGAACATTGACAATTCTTGGTTAAAATGGATTCAAACATGCGTTTTCTGTAATTCTTTCTCCATCTTGGTCAACGAAAATCCAACAAAAGAATTTTCAATAGAGCGAGGACTACGCTAGAGGGGTGCTTTATCCCATTCTTATTCATCATTGTTATGAAATGCCTTACAGTCTTACTAAAATTAGCTATTTTTCAAAACAAATTTCATCCTTTTAAACTTTCAGATGACTTGCAGTTTTCTATTCTCTAGTTCGTCGATGATACAATTATGCCAGGGGAACATAATTAGGAAAACATTTGGACCATCAAAATTATACTTTGTGGGTTTTAATTAGTTTCGGGCTTGTGAGTGAATTTCAATAAGAGCACAATCATTAGGCTGAATCTGAAAACCAAATTTTTTGGAAGTAGGTTCAAAATTTCTCTCGTGCTCAATCACTCACATGCCTTTCACTTTCTTAGGCATTCCTATTGGCGCAAATCCCTGAAGGAAAGCTACTTGGGAGCCGTTTCTATCAAAGTTATGAAGCATGATCAATTCTTGAAGTGAAAATTTGTTTCTTATGGTGGTTGTATTGTTATCTTAAATTCTATTTTAAATGCATTGTCATTATTCTACTTTTCTCTTAATAAAACTCCAAAGATTGTCATCAATAAAATCAGAAAATTCAGCGCGATCTTCTTTGAAAGGGATGAGAAAATAAACGAAGAATTAATTGGGTGACTTGGACTAAGGTTTGTCAATCAAAAGAAAACAAAGTGTTAGGAATAATGCATTGCGAAATGTATAATATTGGACTCATTAGAAAATGGGGTTGGAGGATTCTTAATGATCAAAACTCCTTTTCGTCCTCAATCCTCACTTTCAAATACGACAACATCAAAAGTTAGATTTTCGATCTTTCTTGGCTATCAAATAACAAAAAAGCTTTAATATGGTGGAGAGATTTAAAATTATCTATGGGCGGAATTAGTGACATTGAAGCTTGGTTCAACAAAGTGGTTTCTTGTAGGTTTTGCTCAGGTTTGGAAATCGACTTTTAGAGGCATTCTTGGATCGACCCAGAACCTTTCCAATTTCTCTTTCCAAACTTATTTGATGTTGTGACTGCTTTTAAAAGGAGGTCAAAAGTGGGTTCTATAGGTGTTTGGTTTGGAGGCTCTTGGCCCTGGAACTTGAATATTTGCTTCGAGTCAGTTTCAGAACAAACCAAGGCAAAACTGAACTCTCTCTACCACATCCTTGATAAGGTTAATCTTATCTTGAAGATCATTGATTCTTACGTTTGACATCGTGATTCCAATGGATTCTCGATGAAATCAGCTTACTCAATTCTTCACCACTGTTCTTATTATGAGTTCACTATTTATTCTTCCCTTGCTCAAGCGCTAAATATTAATTGGAAAGCGGAGATTCCTAGTAATGTTCAGGTTTTTTTGTGGATACTTTTTGTGAATAAGCTTCTTTTTTGGCCTAAGCTTAAAAAACACCAAGTTATCAATGCTTCCCATGATTTGGTATGTGTTTTTTGTTTCTGCCATGAAGAATATGTTGCTCATCTTTTTTTATTCTATTTGGATGCTGCGTGTTTATGGTGTCAGGTGTTGGCTTGGTTAGATTTTGATGGCTTTCCAATTCCTACTTTAATTCTGGACCATTTTCACAACTTTGATATTATGTTTACGGGAAGAATTATTAAGTTTTTTCGTCTATTTTTTTTGTTGTTTTTTAGATTCTTTGGCTAGCTAGGAATGCTATCCTTTTTAAAGGGGAATTGCTTAATGAGAACGACTTAGCTTTTTTAGTTAAAATTCACTCATAGGACTCATTTGGAGCTAGTTGTAATATTTCTATTCACTCTAGCTTCTTAGACAGGTTTGACAACCCTTTCTTGTGTATTAGTTTAGTGGTTGTAGGCTAATGTTTGGTTGATCAATTCTTCCTTTCTCTTTGTATTGGGTTGATTACCCCTTATACTCTCTTAATATATTTTTTGTTTATAAAAAAACCACTAGCTCATACCACCAATATTTAAATTCCTACAAACTTAACATATTTCTCCAATCTGAAAGGCTTGTTTTTGGAAGGAAACAATTTGATTGGCAAAATACCAATTAAATTAGGCTCTTTGAAAAAGCTTCTATTATTCATTATTTTTAAAAATATTATAACTAGACGAGTCCATTCTTAATCCATAGGAAATATTTTGAATACTGTCATATAATATTACAATTTAATCCTTCCCTACATGAACATTGCTAGTAATATACAAGTAATGAAAATAAAAAAATATCAAATATAAAAACTATAATAAATCAATCATCTTCAAGAGAATAATTTCTAACTCAATCAACAATTGAGAATGTGATATATTTAGAAAACCCTAAATAGAAAAGATTCTTAATTCAAAAACTTCCAATTGTATAAAGGAAAAACCAAATATCAAGATAATTAAACAAAAACAACCCATAAAAGTTTGATTCTTTAAAAGCTTTCACGAGGTTTCTTTGATTCCATTCCATTAGAGTTAATATAAATTAGTGTTGTTTATGGCGGATTGCGGAAAATTGTGGTGACCCAAAAATCCGTCATAAAAATATGGCGGATGACGGAACTGAAAATTGAGGAAGTATGACATACAAACAAAAAAACATTATTTATACTCACAAAAAACAATAATAGCACCAAATAATTAAAAATATTAATTCATAAAAATTAGATAACATAATTATATATGATGGAAACTAGAATTCATATATAAGGTAAATAAAATAGATGTGACATGTCTTAAGTACTTTAAAATATTCCATTCATAAAATACATCATAAAACAGAACTATAAAACA